CTCTGCAAGTTCTTGGTAAAAATTATGCAGCATTTCCCCTGTCTCAAAAAACGATCTATTATACAATAAGGGTTGGGAATAACTCTAAATCCCAAATTTCTGTTTCTTGAATCATTGGTTTTCTCCAGTAATGGTGAAAGCAGAGTGCTCTCTAGAGTTTTTCATAACAAGAGCCCATAAAGTAGTAGGAAGCTAATAGAAAACCTTCAGGAGATTAAACTAGGTTCTCAGCAAGTATAAAGAGACATTGTGCCATTGCAGTGGGTCGATTCAGTTCATCTTGATGAAGTTTTTAGTAAAGTTTTTAGTAAACCCCATTTCCTCTCTGAGACAGTTCTTTGGTCCCTCTTTATATTGCAGATTTCCAACATTTGCATATTCTAACTGGGGTAAAATTTGAGGGAATAGCAACAATACCGGGGCTGAAGAGAAAGAAAAATGAGATTGTATAGAATAGCACAAAAGTTGAGCAAAGACTGTATAATATAGCATTATAATATATCACTCAGACTGGTTGACGTAGGAAGGGACTGAAGGTCGTCTTGTCCAAACACCCCCTGCCCAAGCAGGGCCAGCTACAGCCAGTTGCCTAGAACCATGTCCAGATGGCTTCTGAATATCTCCAAGGATAGAGCTGATTCCACAACCTCCCTGGGCACCCTGTGCCAGTGCTCGGTCAGCTGGGTGGCCCCCAGCATTCACTGGTGCATGGGACTGTTCCTCCCCAGGGGTAGGACTTTGCTCTTCTCTTTCTTGTGCTTTGTAGAATATATAATAACAGAGTCCTGGGGAGAAGCCAAGTCAATGGGGAAGAGGAGGAGCAGCAGGACCAGTGAGGTCATGAATGATGGCCAAGAAGCAAGGTACAGCAATGGTGACCACCAGCTGCAGTGTGAGGTAGGCAGAGAGCAAAACCTGTGAGGAGTGAATTGAGAAGCCAAGGGGAAATAACGGAGGGGGAGAGAGGGAGAGATGAAAAGGAAACCTTTACAACATTTTGTGTCCAACTGGAAAAAGCTAATTTGGAAAAGAAGCAAAATACAGAGCTTTTGCCACTAAGATTTCTAAGATGAGCAAGCAGAAAAGAACAAATTCAGAACTCATGACACTAAATCTCAACGTAACTGAAATCCTCCACAGTCCGAATCTATGAATTTGCTTCATCTTTAGAGATAAATAAACAACTTGGATATGTGTTACAGAATCTCATGCATGGATGAGTAGTTCAGAGTCAGAAGCATTTGGTTTTTATATAATCCACAGCACAGCATGGCCAAGATCACTGAAAAGTCTCTTCCTTCTTAGTGGTCACAGTATATTTCAGATTCAGTGGGTATACTGGATAGCAAGACAAAGCATTTCAATGCACTGGCCCTCTTTTTTTGTTTAGATGAAGGGCTTCAGTACAGAATAAAAAAAACCCCACTTCATAGTTTATACACTTTTATATTAATCGACAGTTACACTGCAGCTTTATGCTCAAAATTATCTCTTCTAATAAAAAAATCACATGTATCTTAAAATTACAAAAATAACATATATATAAATGCATACACACTGATCTCTGTAATGAATGAACACAAAATTAAAAGGGCAACTGAGAGAAAATATAGCTCTATATTACAAAAGCCTCAAAACGGTACCTGGACTGGATCATCCAACATGGGGAAAAAAAGAAATTGAAAGCCAAGACCTGTGTTTAAATGATATAAGAAGCAGTGACATTAAGTTTCAGTCTACCTTTAAGACAATTAAAAATACTTAAATTTTGCTACTGAGTAAGGCAACCTTAAAAACTATTGGACTGGTCTGTGCTGACTCTAGTCTACAGACAATGACACAGTGTTTTTCTCTGATGTTTCAAAAATTGCAGAAGGCTAAAACTTGTTAATAGAATTTGATCAGAGCATCAGAGTCAAGTCTGAAAGAAAATATGAAGTGACACAGCGGACCAAAGCTGCCTAACTGTTTGTAACTATTTCAGAAGAAACAAGCAAAAGTAATCCTTTCTGTTTCAATCAAAACACGTAATGAGTTTCGTTAAAGAGTGACTTGTATTTTTGCCCCAAAGGCCTCTTTTGTCTTCAGAGCCATGGCAGGTCTGGAACCAGCCTGTGCGCTTGCAAATCCTTCCTTGAGCTGGAGGAAAGAAAGAGAAGACGATGCCAGAACACGCTTGCTAACCCCGAACAAAGAATCCAGCACTATCAAAGCACTAGTAATCCTTGATTCACGCGGCTTTGTTTCTCTCAGTGCAGGATATAAAAGCATCTTTGGCTGTATGTTTTGATAACAGAAATTAGTACCTTGTCATGTTTTAAATCGGCAGCTGAAAGACTTCTTAAGCAAACGTGACAGTATTTGAAATGTCCCATGCTGCCACACTTAAGATATGCCAATCACAATTAATAGCAACACATTTGCTATTCCAAAACAAATAAAACCTGCAGAGTTTTTCTGCTGAATGAAGAGCCGATGAGTGAACACAGAAGCAAAATTACCACAATAGCCAGTTAGCCTGTCAATGGAAATTACTTTCGTTTGTCTGTATTCACAAGGGTTAGTAAACAATAACACTTCAGCTAATATAGTTTTGTTACATTTGAATTCAATGTGAAATACAGGCTGACATAATAAACGGATCTCTTACTCTTTTGCACTGGATTTCTGAGGTCTTCTGAGTCTTTATGCTTAAACTGGTCTGTAAGTCTCATATTTTGGTATCAACCCTATTAAATTTGTGTCATTTTTCCTTCTAGAAAATGAAGGACTGTCCTCTTGTCATTTGAACGAGAGATCTATCTACAGCTTCCCCTCACTCAGCAGGATCCAAGTGAACATTTTATATTATTCCAGTGGATTCTAAAAAGCTGTGCTGGAAATCCACTTGGTAGGGTGGTAAGACCACTCTAAATAAATGCCTCTCACCTTCCAAGTTCGCTGGATTTCTTTTTCTGAAATCTCACAATAGTTTTGGTGCTCCCAGCTCCCATGTCCCACCAGCAGGTTTTACTAATATTGAGTTGCACCTCATGACCCTCTTACCACGGGAAGTGGATGCAGATCCCCTTGAGCAAATTCCTTTTCTTTGCTTTTTCCAGTAAATTCTGGGTTTTTTTTGTCACCTGATCCCACTTTTCATCTAATTTCTTCCTCATCTTCATGCTTAATTCAAGGCTTCCCTCTAAGCCCTCCTCAAGTGCTTATTTTTACTGACTAGTCAGAAAAACCTTTTCTTTGTAAGCTAACTGAGCATCTATTGAAGGGCTCCCTTGCGGGCTACTACTCTGGACCTATGACTTTGGAAAATTCGGGACACTGGGTAACACAGGCTTACTGGAATAGACATAAGGCAAACAATTCAGGTAATAATTCATGAGACTGAAGTGTGTGATTAAACTAGCTTTGTCTCCTTTAACCTTTACTGGGCAGTCTCCTATAAAGCTTTTAGGGACTAATGATGTTGGGAGTACAGCAGGGATGCTAAGGCTAATACCAAGCAATAAACCTATGTAAAATTACTCGCATTCGTGCAGTAAAGAAACTAATTCACAAGTTTTAACCTAACAGGCAGACAGATGTAATGAGTTTAGTTCTGTAACGGACCAACTGCTCTCTCACAGTTGGATTCCCTAAACAGTTACACTGGGAATATTTTGGACAGAAAGACAACTTTATAAACCCACCCACATACATTCAAAAAACTTTTCTAGCTCTCTGCTAGAAGTCTTTGGTTTTCTTTAAAAAAAAATACACATTAAAAATGAAACAATCTCTTCAGCTTTCCTCAGCTGGCCATCACTGCTCAATGCAAATGATCATTTTAAAAGCAATGTCTCTAGGTCAATGTGTTCAAAATCACAAAATCTCTTGTGGAAACTCTCAACTTCAGCTTTTCTTCTTTTTTTTTATGGATGGTGGTGTTAATTTAGCTTTTTTCCCTTCTAGGTGTTTCATACTTGATTTTCGTGCATACCTTTAGCTTTTATGAATGTTATCCGATTGTTTCTAACAGGCAATAACGTAATTTCTAAATTACATGTTGCCAGTGTTGCATAAATGTGATGCTTTTACCTACAGTGTTGCATCCAAATTCATGTTAAAATCCAAAAAACTATATGGGAGTTTTGAGGCTGAAGTGGCCATGGCTCTTTGCGGAGCAGATGCTCCATGCAGTTACAAATAGGTGTACCTGCAGTGCCAGTAGTGACTGATGAACAATTACATGGATTTGCCAGAAGGTATTCCTTCTGTTTTGTTGTCAAACGTTATTATCTAAATCTTCTTTGTTCTCATATGAAGCTGTGTTTGCTTATTCCACTTTGCATTGCAACCCTAGTTTGTAGACCAGAATTTTAAGTAGTATATACCAAGCCAAGATCTGTAGTCCCTGATGTCTTCAGGATGCATGGTTAAAGCTCTGCCAGAAGAAGTAGATTGTGAAGGACTTGGGAATATAAGCAGAATTGGGAAATAGCCTGGGCTACACCAGATGCTAGAGGGGAGTGAGAAAGCATCCAGGAAGGTCAGAGACTGTTGAGTCTAAACACTATATAGGAAAACTGAGATAATCAGAAGAGGAAGGAAAGACTATCAGATACAATAAGACCATTTAGTACTGGTGACTAGCCTAAACTTAGTTCAAAAGCCAAATCCCAACATTTTCTGTCTGACTGCGTAAGAACATAGCACTCGCATTAACTATGAATATTTCTCCAGCAGGTGATGAGAAATACCTTTTTTTCCCCCCCAGAGGAAAATCATCTTTCTCTAATTAGACAACTACAAATCAAAACAACCTAGCATGTAGCGCTCTTAACTTCTCCTGGTTCCTACACTGGGCAGCCAAATGTCTTAGAAACCTTATAGCCCAGGGCTTTCCAGTGTTCCCAGTCCCATTGTGGGCTGTGGGAGGGAAGCAGGGAAGAGGAAGGTCTCTACAGCAACGGGGAGGATAGAGAGGTTTTCTCTTGGATGCAGAGTCTCCCTCTGTCTCTTACCTTGTTGAACAAAGGATCCATACACAAACCACATGGAGTTGTAGAGGGTTGTGGAGGTCATGGATCCCATCTGAAGGCGCGGGGGGTTGAGCCAGTTTAAGAGGTAGACCAGTAGCCCTACTAACAGCACAGTGCCAGCTATGCACGCCCACAGGGAGAGGTCGAACGGTGCCAAGCAGGCAAACATGTCCACTGTCTTCTCTGCCTTTCGAAGCAGCACGCCCACCGAGTAGTCCATGTAACGTGTTGTGAAGTCCACCACATTTTCCCTGTCGGGGGTGATGGTTAGGGCAGAGATCCCTATATCAGCTCTCTGAGGAAAGAGGGAGAGAGAACAACATACATAAGTAGGAGCTACAGAATAGATCTTTGTTCCTCGGAGATTTATAGCAGCTAAACTTATGGAGAAGCAGATGCCAAGGCCAACATCTTAAGCATCACATATGTGAACACAGAAACATGACTAAGGCTAGAACAGAGTAGCCACGTGTCTGCCTTTCTGTAAGCAAACCTCACTTGGTGGACTTGGGCACATTAGCTCTCCACATTGTTATTTCCTAAGGAACCAAAATACTTCAAATACAGATAAATGCAGGAGGAAATCTACTTCTGGTCATTTTTCTCAGCCTCGCTTACTGAAGCCATCAATGTCATCGTGGCAAAAGGCAGACCTTGTGTATAGCATTTCCAGTAAGAGGAAGCTAGTTGCCTGACAGAGCCATATGATATCCAACATTTTGATGACGTGATGATCATGACCAAGGGCCACTGCACGATAAAGGGCATCTCATATATCCTGGGATTTTGGGGGCACTTGAAAGTCTGAAAAACATCAAATTTGGCTGCAGAGTCTGAAGTGCAGAAGAGTAGATATTCCATGCAGTTCCTTTACTATTTATTCCTCTGTATCCTCCTGGCTAAGCAATACCTCTCTATGCCAACCTGTCCTGCAGCTACCTGGGGCCTGCTTTGAGCCATTTGCATTTTTTTTGTAATTTAAAGGACCCATTTCAGATAAGAAGACGATGAATAACATTTCTTGAGCTAACCATTGTATTTCACAGCATGTCTGGGCATTAGGTCTCCAGAGACACCAGGCACAACTACAGCAGATCCTATTTTACTTTTCACATGTACAATTAGAACTTCATTGAAAACAAGAAAGGGTATATAAAGTAGACACATTAACACCTTTTTAAAAAACCCAGATACTGAACAAAAATACTAAAATTCTAGATATTTTAATATGAAGAAGACTACTTAAAACACTTCAAGCTGCCTCCAGTTTGATTTAATCCATTTCTGTTCTGCCTAAAGCAGTGTGTGGTCCTTTGGAAGAGGGTGAGGAGAGCACAAAGGCTTGAAAGTCTCAGTACTGTGGCAAATTTTATTAATTCTCTCGAATTTCTTTTTTCTCGCCCAAAGAAGGCAGAGATTACTAACTCCTTAGAAATGTGATGTGAAATATTAAGTGAGAAGGTATGGCAGCTGAAACTGATTAAAATCAAATTTGCAAATCATCTGGGCTCTTTTAATACCATCTGCAAAACACTCTGCAGCCCATGGTACAAACACACTCTTAATCACAGTGCACTTAAGACTTCGGCTTAAATGATGTTACTTTATATTAATCATTCACTGGCTTCAGAAAGTGGTGGAAGATAGCTGGAGGCTGATGATTTGGACAAAAAAGTGTTGGAAAAATATTGATTTGCTTAAAAGCCATGAATTAGAGCTTCAGCTTTAATTTGTGGGTTAGATTCTCTAGTGTCTTAAGTGAAGCCCTGTTGATGTGCACAGCTGAAAGCACGGCTTCATGAATTCACTTCATGTCCCTTCCTAACAATTTTTTGTGAGTGATGATTTAACTGCCCTTTGCCCATGGGCAGCAGCAAGCTCAATCAGTAATCCAAGTAAAAAATTCATCAGAATTGTCCATGGAAACATTCAGATCCTCTGAGCCTCTATCCTCTGATTATAAAACTTGTGGTCAACAAGTGACTAGAGTGATTCACGGTATCTGCTAACCATTAAGTCCTAGCTCCAGTAAGCAAGTTGCACAACAGTCATCATTTGGCCTGTTTTCCACAATTGTGAATATAAATATATATTTAAAATAATTTACAAATGTGAAAGTCCAATGTTCTATACCAATACTTGTCAAACAGGAAAATATGGTTATTTATAATGAATAAGTGTTGGTTTGGGGTTTTTTTCCCTGAATGTATATTGAGAAGTGGAATGGGAATTTAGGGTTAAAGGAGGTTGCATGAAAACAAAAAGCCCTAGACTTAGCCCCTGCTGTTTAACTTTAGCTGTGTTATTAATTATCAGCATGTTACTAAAATGCTTCCCTACCACACTAGATTATTGTGAGGTGCTAATTCAAGTTGTATTTGTAAGACGTTTAAAGGTTCTCCACTGAAAAGCAATATCATAAGTAAAAATACTTTTAACAAATAATAGATTACTCTGGGACTGATGACTAATAGAATTTTTTTCTGCTTTTTCCCCCCCCTTCTTTAAAGAGAAATATATTTTTCCATGAAATACATTGAAGGGCATTGCATGAAAAAGCACAATATGTGGTATTTGTGGAAATACTGCTTCTATTTTACATCTCTGGGGAGCAGTCTTTCCAAATTCCCCAGCGTTATGGTTCCACTCTGGTTATCAGCCATCTATGACAGAGGAACAATGTCGTCCCAATGGAAATGTTGCATTTCCTTTGTCATACTGCAGCAGCAATTGTGACATAATTATGTCTTGAGATTAAAGAGCGGTAGTAAAGTAAAAAATAGAAAGGAGAGAGGTAATTCCTGACTTTTCACTACTCAGAGGTTACACTGGAATATGACAACTCATATTCTTAATTTACTAAACGGAATCATAAATACCAGTTTACCAGAAAACTCTATGTTTAGCACAAAACCAAGCTTAAGCTTAACTTAATAGTTGATCTACTGACCGTGAGCTTCCTTAATTACATATAGATTCTGTCAACTTGTATCAAAATTGGAAGATGAAAAAAATTAAATGCTTGTCATTAAAATGTCAAATTGGATCAGAGAAGACATCAGTTTGAAGAAGTCAAGGTTCACTTCCTGCTTCTGAGATAGAAAGGCAAATGTATGCAATTATGTCAATATTTAGATGGAAAGCTGCCAATCTGATTCATAAACATGTTAAACTCTCCGCTCACTAAGTTTTCACAGTGCCAAAATCAACCAACTATCAGCATCTTAGGTGTCTGTTTAACACGTTCCTGATGAATCAAACTGTGACTTCTGAAACTGACTGACTGAAAAAAACAGCAGAGGGCATTATTTTTCTTTATGTGACCTGCTTAGGAATTTATCCTAATTTATCCTTAATTTATCCTTAGGTCTTTGTAGAGCAACATTGCCAGAATCAGAAAATCCAAAATAAATGACCAAATGGGTCTGATAGCATTGTTACTGGTGTCACAGAACCAGTTCATCAGCAAAGTCTAGAAACCCCCCAAATGCCCCTATGCTATTGCTTAAGCAAGCACATCTCGTACTCATAGAAAGCAATCTTATGATGATTCTCGCAGTTCATGATCAAGAACAGGGAAAATAAATGAATCTACTTTAAATTGCTCCTGTGCGGCCTTTCATTTTATTCCTTTTCAATGTTAAATCAGGTTTCAGCAAATGCTGGAAGCAATAAACCACAGTCCCACATGCTATGCAGTTGTTAATATGGACAGGCAAAAATTAATCAGAGAGACACTTTTGCTCAAGTTAATACACAAACATCCAAGTAATTCTCCTTTTACTCAGCAATTATTTTTTCTTCTCACTTTGTCCTCCCTGTATGTTTTCTTCCTTCCTATGCTACTCCCCTTAGGAAGATGCATTAAAAATCCAGAGCCTTATAAGAGGCTTCTACTTGGCTTACAGTTTCTCTTAGAAATGTTTAGGCATGTATTTACTTTTCCTTTTCTGATGGACCTAAGTGGAATCAGGCAGCTTTCCTTACGCTATTTGCTTCCTGGTGGCTCCTCATTGGAAAAAAAATCCTAGCAATCAAGGTAGCACAGTGAAATAATGTTTGATGGACGTGAACATTACTGGGAAGTTCAGAGCTGTGCTGGAAGGCCCACTGTCCTCTCCCAGAAGTGGCATTAGCCACTTCTCTTGCCTGTCACCCTCTGCTGATGTGGACTTGAGGGCAAAGTAAAAGAAGCACTGTGAAAAGACACAGATAACTAACAGCAAGAGAAAGAGTTGCAGTAAAGCGCTGCTCCCCTGAGATGGTTTTAAGCTCTCTACAGAAAGCTGCCGCTCTCTGAACTCATCCTGTTTGTGAGCTGAAGCTCTGTGGGATGCACTGAAAGCCCTGGTCATTTGGCAGGACAGGGGCAAGAGCACCGAGTCCCTCTCAAAGAGCATTTATCCTCCACAGACCTTCTGGTTCAGGTGCTCAGCAAGCAAAGCTTTCCATAGCATGGTTACATTCAGTTTATTTTGAGAGGAGAAGGTGTATGGAGCAAGGGTGTACCTAATACAGGTCTTGACAATCAAAGGAGGGGAGACTTGAATCAGTTTCCAAATTCAAATTAAAGACCAGTTGCTCTGATCTGCCGATTCCAGCTCCTATTTTAGCAGCCAACAGGGACTTTGTCTCCAAAGCTGGAACAGAGTGAACTTGGCATAGTCTCACGTCTGCGAGGCCAACTGTGGACCTAGGGCACGTACTTGGCACTGCAGGGCTTCTGCCCTGTGCTGCAGCTCAAGCAGAGCTGCTGCAAACCAGAGCAGCCCAGGACTGCTCTCACCCATACTGGGATCTGCATTCACAGCCCCACCACACAGTGAGTCAGGTTAATGCAAACAGTGTATGTTGATCTTGAACACAGAAGTTACGCGCTTGCTGCAGCACATCTTTCATAGTGTCCACAGACATCCATCCTTCTCAATGAGATGTACTCAGAAAGAGAAGGCAGCTATGGTCCATTACCCTTGAGTGGGACTTGTCTCTTGCAGAAATACATTGTTCCCAACTCATTCCTGGCTCATGCACTAACAGGCAAAGAGCAATCCCTCTGTTCCTGGATTTCTTCCACACGTTGGCCAGACTATCATGTAAGGCTTGGTTGGGAAAACAAGGAAACATTCTGTTTTAAACAGGTTAGACCTTTAATTTAAAGCTATTCTCTGCTCCTTTGCTTCCCCTGACAGTTGCCAAGCAGATAGATATTCGAGTTCTGGAAGCAGAACTCAGTACACAGTAAATAAGAAAGCAGCCTTTCAAGAACAGCTTGCACTTGGTAAGGGGTAGATATACACTGGCTGCTCGCCCAGAGGTTCTCTTTTACCTTAAGAGGGACAGAGAATGGGAGAGAAGGACACAGCGAACCTTTACTGTTAATTATGTGAGGGGTAAGGAAGATAAAAAATTGTATGCTGCCATAGTATTGGGAAAACATGTTTTTTTGAATTTCAAATGCAGTTCCATTAAGTCTTCATACTTTCTAACTGTACAGAAAGATTTCATATCCATTAAGACTCACTTACAGCAAAATTGTAGCAGACTGGTAAATCTGTTCCACTCATCTATTTACAGAACTAGGCAGTTACCACCTTAAGGGTGTTATTAGAGTTATATGAGTCCCTGCCTACCGAGGG